AAAAAAAAAAAAATCATTAGCCTGGACTTTAAATAACCCAGCCTGATAGAAAGCCATTTCTTATGCAGTATACACCAGGAAAGGACCCCCTTGTGGAAGAACTCAAACCCAAATATTAAGGTGGCACTTAGATTTCTTTATGTAAAACACAACTGCAGAGCATCTATCCTATACAAAGGCCTGGCTTCCTGAAAACACAATCAAATAATTAGAGATGTTTGGGATTTGTTTGTTTGTTTTTTATTTGTTTGTTTTGTGTATATGGCTTTTTGGGTTATTTTTTTTTTTTGATGGACTTGCTTTTTGTTTTGCCCTTGGTTTACATCACACTGATATTTTTATCTCTCTCTCTCTCTCTCTCTCTCTCTCTCTCTCTCTCTCTCTCTCTCTCTCTCTCTCTCCATTTCTATGCTGTTCCAGAACTTCTGTTTGCCCCAAGGAGGAAAATCAGGGAGATAGCTATGGCTTTCTAATCCTTCTACATGGCCCAGTGTGCCATGACCCTCACAGGAGAGAGGGCTGACTAGCTAAGAGGGTGTCAGCACAAACCACAGAGGCAACCAGGAAGCTGTGTGGGAACAGGAAGAAGATGCCAATAACCGCAGGCCCTGGGCTCTCAGGGTTGGGCCGGACTCTTAGAGCAAAGGCAGGCAAAATGTTCATCCTGTATTGAGCCAAAGGGTCAAGGAAGCTTTCTAGAGAACATCAAAAACTCCCCAATAACAACTCCTGGAAAACAAACCAGAATTAACCAAGGCAGCAGTCACCTGGATCGTGACAATCGCTGTGGCCAATGCCGTGATACTGTGGAGAACGATCCAGGAAAATGGTGCACTGCTCTGCACCACAGACTTGTCCTTCCCTGTGCAGCCCACACTTGAGGGCCAGCCCCTGTCCCCTGGGCTCAGGTGGCCAATGGGCTTTTCCTCATTGTTCCCCAAGTGCCAACCATGGGACCAACTAGAATGTTTGTGTCTTTTTCTGAGTATACATACTATGCGTTATTCCAAGCAGGAATAAGATTTTTATGAGGAGTATTTGGTTGTTTTAAAACTTTTGCAGCAAATATTTGTTGAATACCTGTTATATTCTGAGCTGGGCTTGGCCCTTTGAGAGATATAAAGACACAAAATTCACAATTTCTAAGTTCAGTAGAGGAAATAAGGCATGCTCATATGCAGCCAATTACAAGGCAAGATTATTTCACTGCATTAGTAAAAGGAGCTGGACTTGTACCCATGTCTCCTGACTGCCACATTCTACAGTGGGTGTGTGTAGCTTTACAAAAGGCACTTTTCAACTCTGGTCCATATTTTTCCTCTACTGTGAATAAAGGGTTGGAAAATCTCAAGGCAAAATGTTAGCCATAACAGTCTGTGATTAAGGACAGCACAAATAAAAAGATAACCATTGATAAAATATTGCAAATTTAAGGTAACCTTATATCCCAAATTTCCCAGGATAGTCCCAGTTTATTGTCAAAACATACTGGTTTGGAAGTAGATTCCTCTACATAACATGATATGCCAAGTGAAAGAAACCATACCAGTTGATACAAAGGCCATTAAGATGCCTCTTGATCATGCTAGTGCAGAAGAGTCTTGTTAGATTTGATTGTCTCTCACTTTCCTTCGGTGTATAAGATAACACCCCAACCTTAAAACCACAAGCAATTTTAACCCACAATATTGTGACCTGGCAGATTGGTTTGGCTCAGCTAGACAATTCTTCTGCTGCGCCTGCTGGTTAGCATGAGGGTATTTGAGCAGGAAGTATATCCCTGCTCCACGTGGCCTCTAATCCTTGAGCAGGCCAGCCTAGATGGTAAATGCCAAGAGCAGCAAGAATAAAAGCTGCAAAGCCCTTTTGAGATCTAGTTTGGAATTTATACACTGTTATTGACACCACATTTACTGATCAAAGCAAGTCATAAAGCCAGGCCAGACTCTAAGAGTAAGGAGATAGACCTCTCCTCCTGATGAGAAGAGCAGCCAAGTCTTGTGGTCATTTATGCATCCCTACCATAGGCCTCATATGCTTCCACAGAGAGATCCTGAGAAAATGTCCATGGATAGCAAAAAGAGGAGAAAATTAGGAAGAGATATTTGGCAATCCTGAGGCCTGGCAGCTCTGCCTTTTCAGTGGTTTTTTTTAATTACTCCTAGAGACAAGCATCCCAAACCTTAACAATAATTACAAGGAAAACATGATTGTATACTTCTAGTTTCAGTGTAAATAGTACTCCCACTTGTCTTTATTTCCACTTCATTTATATGCAAATTACCTGACAGTGTTTATTGGATCACGTACACATTCAGCTCACATCATTAATATGAGCTTCACATTGATAGTTTTCTTAAATTAGTGACTTTGTTTTAAAAGTAAAACAACTAAAATGTAAACTTGAATGATGAACATGTTTTTGGTGAAAAGTTGAAAATAAAAACCAAAATAAAGACTCCCGAATTTCTCTTCTAGCACGGATGTTCTTACAAAACAGGAATGTATCTCATGATTTATAAAAACAGAATACACTACAGCTGAAAAGGAATCTGAGAACACAGCTTGATATTTGCAATGTCTATCATTTATTCGGTTGCCAAGTATTTATTGAATGCCTACTATGAGCCAACCACAGCTATAGCAAGAACGAAGTGATTGAGACTCAGAGAGGTTTAGTCAGGTTGTCCAAACACAATCAACCAAGTAAGAGGCAAAGCCAAGACTCTAGACCAGGTCTCCACAGTCACTGACACCTCCCCACATGTCAGTTTCCTCATTCCTTAAAAAATAAAATGAAGCTTTATAAATCTAATAACAGCTACAATGATTATGTGCCCGTCACTTTGCTAGACCTTTTACGTATGTAAAATCTTCAGAACAACTAGATTTTTATATTTCTACCATTTTAAAAATAAAGAAATAAAAGCTTAAGAGGATTAAGTAATTGGTCTAAGGACACATCACTGGTAATCTGTGAGAAGAGATTTCAGAACCAGTCATATTAATCCAGGGACCACACTTTTAATCTTAATGGGATTTTTGTGGGAAACTTTGTTAAATATGCATATTCCAATCTGGGTGTGGTAGATTACAGGCCTATAACCCCAGCTACTCAGGAAGATGAGGCAAGAGAATCACTAGTTCAAGGTCAGCCTGGGCAACATAGCAAGACCCCCATTCACCCATCCCAACCCCCACAAGGAAAAACCATATACTTTGGAACCTTGCACAGAGTAGATGCTGAATGGATGTTTGTTGAATTTAAATAGGTAAGAATATGGCCAATTTATGCAGCCAGCTAATGTCCAGCAACTTTTTTCAAGCCAAGCTAATACCACTCTGGTGTACTAAAAGCTTCTAATGAGAACATTCACTGTCATTTGTATAAGTAAACCATTGCATTGGAAACAGAATAGACAGCACATGGACATAATTTGCTTATTTGCTAATTAGTACAAGGCCTATCCAACAGATGTCAGGATGAGACTAAACATACATTGATGTGTTAGACTTTGGCTTGAAGGGATATTTTCTCCCTTCCCATGAGACTGGTAACTAAACAGCTTCACAGGTGCTACAGGGAAGTGCTGCCTGGAATGAAGTCATAGAGTCCAAAGAAAGGGAACAGTCCATAAAAATATGGAAGAGGAAGGAATGCCTGGGTTGTGAGATTGGGCATGGCAAGGTAGTTTGACAGGGAAACACTTAGGCAAACTGCTGATGCGTGAAGGGTCACAAAACTTCTGAAGCAGGAACAATATGGGAGGTTGGAGAGGCAGATGGCCATACAGCTGGAATGCTAGTCTCTGTTTCCCTGGTGCTTTTTTTATTTTCCGACATTCAGAGCAGAGCCTAGTATTATGATGATCATCATCATTATGTCTATAGCTGGGTGTATTTTGAGCACGATTGGTTTTTCTTTAGAAAAGAATCAGTGTAACATACATGTTAGGAATACATGCAGTGTAGTCAGGCAGACCAAGTTTGAATTTTATCACTAGTTGGAGATCTAGGTGCAAAGTAAGTGCCCATCCTTTACCTACCCTTAGTTCATGAAGACCCTGAAAATTCACACATTTGATTTTAAACCTCTTTTAATGATGCCCTAATATAACATTAGGTAATTTCTGATGCCCATTAATTACTAATTAGCTTCTTGATTAATAATCACAGCATTAAATATTGAATGAGAGAAGTTCTTTTATATGTATATACCCAAAACATTGTCTAGACCATGAAGAAGAGATGAAAGTGACTTCACCTCAATTTACAATGGCCCAATATTGTTTTGTCCCATATGTATTGAATGAGAGAAGTTCTTTTATATGTATATACCCAAAACATTGTCTAGACCATGAAGAAGAGATGAAAGTGACTTCACCTCAATTTACAATGGCCCAATATTGTTTTGTCCCATATGTATTGAATGAGAGAAGTTCTAACAGATTTGTTTGAATTTAGTTTCATTAAGTTCCTAGACTAATATCTTGCTTTCTACCTTTTGCCTGGGATTATTCTGTAGTTCAGTGATGCCATTTTTCAGATGAGAAATCAATTCAAGTGATTTGATTCTGATTTGTGAAGTCACTTCAATGAGCAGAAGTGCAAAGGTAAAAAAAAAATAAATACGAAAATGAATACCAATTACACATTTAGTAAGTGAGCCAAATGAAAAGTGGGCAATCTATGAAATGAAGACTCTCCCAGGACATGCAGCACAGACACTACACCTTAAAGTAGGGAGAAGCTCTTCATTTCCCTCATGCAATGGTCAGAATCAAGCACTGGTTAATGCTTAAATCATGTGTGGACCCACATGGCAAGAAGGGCCCTTCTGTTCCCTGTAACACAGCAGGACCCCGATCAGAAACTTTGCAATACATAGAACCCTGAGACAGTGACTCATGACCAGATGGAAGAGTTGGGAGGTCCAATCAGCTAGATGCCTTGTTGGGAAAACTTGATCTCTTAGCCCAAGCTCAGGAAATTTGCTCTCCAGAATCCAGCTGTATTCCCAGCTTTAAAGAAATTTACCTTCAGAAATGAAGTTCTCATCAGGCGTGATGGCACATGCCTGTAATCCCAGTAGCTCAGGAGACTGAGGCAGGAGGATCACAAGTTCAAAGCCAGCCTCAGCAAAACCAAGGCACTAAGCAACTCAATGAGACCCTGTCTCTAAATAAATACAAAATAGGGCTGTGTCTCAGTCTCCTTTAAAAAATATTTTTCCCCCATTACCCATAGAAGTGTTCCCAGGGACCTGAGTCCTTGCCCAAAATATTTTCCTTCTAAGAAATGGAAGGAACAAGGGAAGCACTTAAGGGGAAGGTTTTGGTTACTCGCTGTGGCCTGATGTCCTCCCACAATTTAATCAAGTCCTCTTGATCTTTCAGACATCCCAGGTAATGAATGGTCCAAAAAAGCAGCAGTCATTTAGAGAGAAAAACAATGATTATAAAATTTAAGGACTATGTGAGTGATAACAACATTTACTGAAAACTTGAAATTAATAGAGAACATAAACCTAGTTTGGAGCAATGGAGACTATTGGAGGGAGATACATGAAAAGGGAAGAACATGGAATGAAATTGACTGGGGGAGAGACAAGGGAAGGAAACCAGGTAGTACTGGGGACTGCAATGGAGCAGAGGGTGTTTAAGCATATATATTCCATGCATGTATGATTATATCAAAATGAACCCTGCTATCATGTATAACTATAATGCAATAATTAAAACATTTTTTTAAAAAAATCCATGGCAGAAAATGTTCTTTGTAACCACCCCAGGCCAGCCCTTCAGACAATTGACTTACTTTTATCCAGGTCAACTCCAGGATTTGTTTTCTCTGAACAAACTTAGATGACATTATCAAAGTAAAAAAAAAAAAAAGGAGAGGATTTTTTTCTCAATATGGAAAGCTTTGAAATAAAAAGTATTTGATAATAATAGGTGAGAGATTCTCAGACAGCTTCCTGCTGTCTGAGCATGTTTTGAGAGATTCCAAATATTCCACAAAGGGCATCTACAGAACAGTTCAGTGCAAGCCTGGATGTCTGTGTGGTGAGGCCAGGTATGAAACACTGCATTTTGGGTATCTAATTTTTTATTGATGATCCTAGAAAACTTTCAAAGTGCTCAAAATAGAAGCCTGAGATTGTACAAAGTTCAAGGCAAGAAGCAGAACTGGACATTATATAGCTTGGGGTGAGAACAAAACACTCCCAACAACAAGGTCTGACCTGCCCCTGCCCACCAATGGAGATCAGCCCAGTTGGGCATCTCCACCTCTGTCCTCTCCAGCTGACACATGGAGTTCTGTGTCTGGGAAACTGGCCATCACCAGGAATTTATATAAACTACTGTAGTGCCTCCTAGGTAGCTTTCCTGATAATAAATGTGACTATAAGATGACCCAGTCTATTTTTAAACATACTGAGCCTTTCCATTTCTTGTTCAATGTAATTAATTGCATAGGTTTTCTGGTGTATGGATTATTAGGATACCACATTTGTAAGAAGTAGAAATTGATTCTGATGAACTTGTGAGCAATCTAAAAAGAGGGAAGTAGATGGATGGAGAATATGATGTAGTTAACAGTCAGAAGGAGAGACTGAGAAACCAGGCCTAAGACAGGGTGGGAGCAGAGGGTGTTTAAACATCTAACTGCAGGAACTAACACATATTCTCTTTAAGAGAGTTCCAACCCAGGAACCAGCATTGCAATCATTCCACTTCCACCAATTTCACATTTCCAAGAGAGAATTTTATGCAACCTGAGGAGAGAGAGTTCAGGCCTTCTGACTGCCAGTCTTACCAAAATGAAGGAACTGTGGGGACAGTGTTGGCACAGGTGGTTTTAGCATTAGACTGTCAGGTCCATCACAACTGGTAGCTCTGACTCTTGCCTCCTCTGGTTGTCTTTCAGTCATCAAGGAAATTTTTTCCCATCACATTCTTTGGCGCCATCACCTGGATCGCAGCCTTCTCTTATTTGATGGTCTGGTGGGCGCATCAGGTAAGACCTGGACGGTGATACCCATCTGCTTTATGTCCTCTCAGTCTTGGTTGCCACTTGGTTCATCAATGTGTTTGCTTTCTGAAACTGTCACAACAATCTTGAGTGTGACACTGACGAGTTAAAGATTACAGGACTGAACTTTCCCTAGTCTCTGGACCTTTCCCTGTGGCCTGGAATCAAATTGTTAGAGCCACTAGAAAGCCACATGAAGGAAGGCAAGCCTGAATGCTTCCTGCCGGAGGCCAGGCCAACCCATGGCTGAGAGGAAGGTCACATTGTACCTGACTCATGCTATTTATCTTGGGCAAGCCACTCAGTATGGCTCTCACCAGCCTTTCACAGCTGACTCTCAAGAAAGGACCTAGAGCTAATAAAAATAATATTTTTCAATGTTATCACTTTAAGCTCAGTGCAGTTGCAATGCTTATTACAAAATATGACCTCAGTAACTGTAGTTGAAAAACATGAATGAAAGAATAAAATACAAGGTTTCACATTCTTGAAGACCATTATTATATGATGTACTATAAGATGGGCAGTTCACATCTCTTTGTCTTTATAACCTTTTTTTTTATATTTTTGGGTTGTAGATAAACACACTACCTTTATTCTTCTGTGGTGCTAGGATCGAACCCAGTGCCTCACAGGTGCTAGGCAAGTGCTTTACCACTGAGCTACAGCCCCAGCCCCAGTCTTTATAATCTTGACATTAACCCGTACACAGGTTCAAATCCTATGAAGGAGGCACTATTACTATATACACTGTACAGGTAAATGAGTTAAACTTAAAACTGATAAGAAAATTGGCCAAGGTCACATAGAGAGTAAATAGCAGAACTGAGATTCTAACCCAGGACACTCCAGAATTCATCTTTTTAATCTTGATTATATACTACATAAATGCCAAACTGCCCATTTATGTTCTTTGCTTAATATAGTCTTAGAATTGTTAACATAAAATAAAACTGCAATTTGAAATAAAATGTGCCAAGAACATATGTTAATAGACTCTTTTAACAAGTGGCACTGGAAAAATCTGATTTCCATGCACCATAATTAATTGACTTTTATCCTTACCTCATATCATATGCAAATAGATCATGGTTCTAAGTTTAAAAGCAAAAACTATCAAATGTTTAGAAGAAAACATAGAAAATCTACATGACCTGATTTGATCAGGGTAGGATCCCATCCCTGTGACCTTCATCTTTCCTCTGGCTCTTCATAAGTCAGCTTCAGTGATGGGTAACCCAAACATGCTTATGAAGAACAATTCTTGCCGGGCACACACCTATAATCCCAGCGGCTCAGGAGGCTGAAACAGGAGGATGGCGAGTTTGAAGCCAGCCTCAKCAATGGCGAGGTGCTAAGCAACTCAGTGAGGCCCTGTCTCCAAATAAAATACAAAATAGGGCTGGAGACGTGGCTCAGTGGCTGAGTTCCCCTGAGTTCAATCCTCAGTGCCTCTCCAAAAAAAAAAAAAAAATAGTTCTTCAGTGAAATTAGTTCTAGAGCCACCCAGATTCATCAGGGGTTTAATGTATAATGAAAATTCTTATTTGTTAAGAAAATGTCATTATTCACGTGACTTCCCACACTGTGGCTGACCCCAGTAAACTAGCTCTTGTCCATGCTGGGAGAACCCTGATAGCTAGTCTCATAATTTGGAGAGTAAAATAAGTAATGTCTGAGTTTTACTAGCTGATATTCATTGATCCTTTCCTTTATGCCTGACACCATATTGTTTACTTTATAAGTATTATTACGCATAACCATCGTAACAACTCTGAGTAGATGCTACTAACACCATGTTACAGATGGAAAAAACTGAGAGCCAGAGAAGGTGGCTCCTGTGCCCTGGAATTACAGTCTAGAATATGTCCCAAACCACCGCTCTTAAACACACCAGCATACTCCTCATCGATTTCTGGCCCTTCCTATCTATACTGGCACTCAAACTCCAAATACGAATGGTTTTTGAAGCCATCCCTGCTTTAGAATTCTCCCTAAGAATGTAAATTAAAATGTTAAATAAATTAGACCTTTCTTAGTACATCAATCATTTAGTCAGCATCTTCATAGTCTTTGACATTTCACTCTGATTATAACAAAAATAAGACATCAAGGAGAACATTTTGCTCAAATAAGGTACTCTTGTGCAAAATTTTTATTTAACTTTTTCTAAAAGAATCAGTGGGGAAACATGCTCTGGAAATAACCTTCACATGTGAATTGATTTGTTCATTTAGCAAACAGGTCTTCGGAGCCTACAATTTACCAGGCTGTGCTCTATAAATTAGGGACATAGAGCCCAAGGATCCTATTGGCAAGGACCTTACTTTCTAATGGGAAGCAGTAAATCTGTGGGCCACAAGCATATAGTAAACTAAGGCAGCTCACCAGTTTCTGAGCAGGCATGACCGTTAAAATAAATAAAGCTCCCAACTATGCTTTTAAGCTAATAGGAGCCAAGAAGTTACTTATAAATGAAAATAAAAGGAGATTCAGAAGTAAGTATTCTATGTATGTAGGGAAATCAGCTGGGACCAGATAAGAGCTAACTTTCTAACTAAATTAGAGATTGAACCCATGTCTATAAAGTGTTTTAATAACAAAAATTATTGTTGGGTTGCTAAAGGTAACTGACTTGCTATGGCTGGGAAAGCATAATGCAGTGAGACAGAAAAGCATATTTGGCACTAATTTTGTCTGGGGTGTACGTGCCTAGCATATATTTCAAACCCCAGAGATGGTGTTCAAAATTCAATGACTATAAATTTCTGGACACATATTTTTAAAAGAGGCCATGTAAAAGAACTGGAAGCATTCTCATTGCACAGGTCAAGAAGCCAGAAAGTAAGAGGTTTTGTGATTTTCCCCAAGTTACACAATTAGGAGTGCTAGAATTAAACACAGGTTTCATTTGTTATGGTTTGGATATGCAGTGTCCCCCAAGAACACATGCATTAGACAATGCCAGAATGTTGAGAGGTGATAGACTATGAGAATTGGAACCTAAGCAATGGATGAATCCACTTGAATGGATTAACTGGGTGGTAATCATAGACAGGTAGGGTGTAGCTGGAAGAAATGGGTCACTGGGGGCATGACTTTGGGGTTTATATTTTGTCCTTAGTGAGCAGAGCTCTCTCTGCTTCCTCACTGTCACATTCTGAGCTGCTTTCCTCTGCCATGCTTTTCGGCCACGATATTCTTCATCACTTTGGGTGCAGAGCTATGGAATCAGTTGACCTTGGACAAAACCTCCGAAACTGTGAGCCAAAATAAACTTAAAAATTAAAAAAAAAAAAATAGAAGAAGTGAGTATTCTATTCCCTGAAGACCTTTATCATTATCCTTAAACTTTTTCAAAAAAAAAAAAAAAAACCTCTGGATGTCATCAAGTTGGCTGCTAGAGCCCAAATGGAAAGCATTATGTAGATTTTCAGAACTGCAACTGGTCAACGCCAGAAAATACTTTCAATATTTGTATAAGTCCCAACAAGACAAGTTGCTCAAAAGAATGGAAGAGCTTCTGAGGCTAGAACAACCCTCCCAAAAGAAATATCAGTTTTAAAAGACAAAGACCATAAGAAAATGTAATTGCTGTGAACTCCATTTCACTTTTTGATAGGGATGTACTACTTATGAAGGGATTTTCCACAGATTATCATTCAGTTCCCACAACCCCCTTGTTAAGGCAGATATTATCAACACCACTTTATGGGTAAGAAAGCAAACACGGAAGACACTGTACAATGAAACAGTTAGCAGTGGATTAAGCACTTAACAGATACCAAACCAGACCTTGGGCCAAGGTCCTCTGATTCCTTGGCTCTTGCCTCTACACAACAGCTTTGCTTTTTCATATTACCAAACCTGAACACACGCCAAATCAATTTTCCTGAGGAAATGGTGGAATCCAAAAATGTTTGAGTGGTACAGACAATAAGAGATATTAAAGGAAAACAAATGGAACACTGAGTGTCTGTCCCTAATCTTTGATGGTAAATCGAAGGGCACATTCCAGGACTTGGTGCTGCTTGGCCCTGGGTTCAATAGTCCAGTTGGCTTGTATAACTCAAATCTTGCAGAATCCCTGCCTCGGTTTTAGGAAACACCATATGGTAGCTTCACTCTAGCCCTCTGTGGCTCTTTTTTATTTGAGATTATCTGCTTAATCTTCACGTAAATTGCTGATCTCTTGGGTCTGAATGTCATAAAAATATAAACTCCTCTATGGCAATGATTGTAGTTCATTCATCTTTGTTATCTCAGCCCTCAGCACAACACAGAGAAGGAACTCATTAAAATGGGTTGTGGTGAACTGTTTGTGGTTAGGATGGTTTTGTGACTTGCAACACTTACGTTTTCCCCTGTCCTGACGTATAGGTTGGAGAGACCATCGGCATTAGTGAAGAGATTATGGGTCTGACCATCCTGGCTGCTGGGACTTCCATCCCTGATCTTATCACCAGTGTCATCGTGGCTCGGAAGGGGCTAGGAGACATGGCTGTGTCCAGCTCCGTTGGAAGTAATATTTTTGACATCACTGTAGGGTAAGTGAGAGCTACATAAAAGTACATACCAGCTCCATCATTGACTTTGTCTTCCAAGAATCTGTAAAGATATGACCAGGCTCTCTGAGCCCAAAATTCAGCAGTACCAACAGAAAACAAAGGCTTGGGAGGACCATTCAGTTTCACCAACTCTATTTTTCAGAGAACTTAATGAAGAGTAAGACATTCCTAGATAAGCAGAAACACATATCTGCCTTTAGAATTAATGTTTTAGAAAATATTTTAGGAGAATTCCACTTATTTAACTGCAGTCACCACATATTATGAATCTTCAGAATTCAGACAAGACTTCGATGCTCTGATAGTTTCACGGTGGTTTTGTTCCATATTCTAGTTAATATCCCTGACCAGCCTCAGGCAAGATTTGGATTTTAAGACAGATTGGGATGTGCAGAGACAGCACAAACATCCCATTTCCTCGGAAAATGTTGGCATTGGTTTACCTGTGCCCGTGATGATAGTCTAGGTTTTTTGGAAGTAGGAAAATGAAGGGGATTTTTCCTTACAATTAAGTGCACTGGAGTTCTAGGTATGAATAATCTCTATAGTAAGCCAAATTTAGAGGAGTGATATTATCTCTCCCATCACATTAACTTATCAACAGTAAAAGTAGGCTCACTCATGACCCTGAATGGCAGTCCCCCGAGAAAGAAAGACACAGGATTTTATCCTTGTGTTCCCAGAAGAGCAGGGCTCTTAACACTTGAGTTTGGAAATCCAATGAAATGCATCTATGTTCTCTTTAAGTATCTTGAATATTGTTGTCTTCTACCTTTTCATTACAAAACACATATTTATCATTTTTCATACAATGTCCACCATGTATACTGTACATACATTTTTTTTCCATTTAAGACAATGATCATGGAGTTATATATTAGCATCCCCATTCCTCAGATATGGATACTGAAAGGCACAGAATTCACACAACTGGTAAATGCAGAAGCTGGGATTTGAGGGGGGAAATCAATCCTGCCACCACACTGTCTGTGCATAAAACCCCACCCTGGGTCTCCACTGTCTGAAACTCCAGTGAGTCCCAATGTGCCCTCACCTGTTAAACTTCCCTCTTCTGCCCACCCTGCTTCTCTACCTGGAAAGCTCTCTTAACCTTTCCAGTGTCAGCTCAAATCCTTATTTCTCTAATCCCTGTGGGTCTGAGCTAGGGCTCTTACTCCCATAGACCCTCTGCACATCGTACTGTTGTCAGGTCCTGTCTGCCCACAAGCCTGCGGACTTCCCAAGGGCAAGCACTCACCAAAGCCTAGCACATCACCTGGTAGTGGCTTAACAAATACTTGTGGAATGGACAGAAGGACTGACAGATGGATGCCTTCAAAGTTACATGCCTTAAAGGAAATTATCTTAATGTAAAGAATACCTCTTTGCTCTGTTGGCTACACATTCAGAATAGCCTTTTTGTCAATGTTTGTCTAAAAAAAAAATAAAAGGAAGGAGAGAGAAAGTTCTTTGTAGCGTAAAAAGAAAATCCTATAAGCTAAGAAAAGTTAGGTATTCAGTTAGCATCTTTGCCATGTGTTTGAAAAATAACTATTCTAGTAAAGTTGCAAGACACTCCTTGTTCATTGGTCTAAAATTACATATAGATCATAACAACAAATGAGAGTCTAAAGAAAAGTACCACCTAACCTATTAAAACACAGTTTATTTTTCTAATGTTCTTTCAAATATTTTGGTTTTCTTAGTGAACAGTCAGTTTTGTCCTCCTATAGGGCTTTTATTTTTTTCATCCAAAGCCATGTGTACATAGCAAAAAGAGACATTTATTACTAAAAATTAATAAATCATGTGACCCATTTTCTAAGTGTTTTTAGACCTCCAAATATTCCATCCTGTTGCTTTTCAGTTTAACCATTATCCTTTAAAAGAATCTTTTTATATTTTTTTAGATTTTTTGTTATGCAGAAAATCTCTCTCTTTTAATTATTTTATTAGGATAAATTCCTTTAAGCCATATAATGGATTAAATATTTTTAACATTAAAATGACTATGATATATTTTATATATTTCTTTTCCAAAAGCTTCTTTCCTAAGTTTATACCAATGTATGTCATTGCCAATATATTAAGTGATATCATTAGCAAAAATATTGAGTGTAAAAGTTTCTGCATAGTATTGCCTGCATTTTCTATTTGCTCATAGAATAATGCATAAAGGATTTAGATATAAAGATCAGTGAAAATTCACTGACATTTTAAAATGTGTATATTTATGCAAATAAAATTGCATTGTTATTTTTATGTAAATCTTTCATTCTAAATTTAAATTACACATAAGATTCTGAGTTTGATTGCTAGCACTGCAATTAATAAGTAAAGCCTAAATTTAAAGTTATTTCATGAATATTTTCTATATCACTATATAAACTTGTGATTTTAAATAGCCATATAACATTACATTGACTTACATTGATTTACTATTTGGCTAGTTTCCCATTGGAAGTTTTAAGATGATATCCTCATTTTTTTACTACTCAAATAACACTGAAATGATCATTTTTCTGAATCAAGTTGTATCTGCATTTCAAATTATTATGAAAAATGTCATTTTCCCCCAAAGGGTGTTTACAAACTATTTATTGTGCTGTCAGCTCAACTTCACCAGAACTGGATGTCTGGTGTATATGTGTGTGTGTGTGTGTGTGTGTGTGTGTGTGTGTATTTAAACATACATGTGTTTGTCTAGTGTGTTAGTCAACTTTTTGTCACTGTGAAAAATACCTAAGGTAATCAACTTAAAAGGAAGAAAGGTTTATTTTGTCCAACAGTTTTAGAGGTTTCAGTCCATGGTCTCTGTTGCTTGAGCCTGTAGCTACATGATTATGATATTCATTGGCCAGGAAACAAAAAGAAAAAGAGGGAAGGACTGGGTCCTCATATTCCCTTCAAGAGCCCACCCCGTCATGGTCTAAAACCCTTCTACTAGGTCCCTCTTCCTAAGGTTCCACCACCTCCCCATAGTGTCATAGGCTTGGAAGCAAGCTTTCAACATAAGTGTTTTGGGGGTATAATTCAAGATTCAAACTACAACATCTGGTTTAATAAGAGTATAATGGTTTGGGGTCTTTCTCTTTAAAAGGCATGGGAAATATGGAAGAAGAACTCACCAGGATGAGTTCACCAACATTGTCAGGCCCTCCCCTCCCAGTTTCTGACTTTCCATTGCTGAACCCAGGATCCCAAGGCTGCCCTCTCCTGCCAAGTACTGGAATTTCACCTTGTTCCAGGCTGCCCCTGGGGAACATCAACCCAACATGGTTCACTGAAGTGAGCACTCCTGGCCAGAGAAAAGTGCCTGTACTGATCACCACCAGGCCATCACATCAATCACTTCAGCATTACCCTGCTTAAGATATGCACCCACGTGGGGGCCTGCTAGTGTCAAGCCCTGGTGATTCAAAGATGCAGTGCTTGGGCTCTGCTCTTACACACTCTCCAGCAGAGGAGGCAGATGCATAATTTGCCTTTTCACCCTCATTATTTCTCTCACAAACTATTTGCTTTTTCTTTGGAGCACTTCATGTTTCAAAAGGGCAGCTCCTCTTCCATACCCCTGAGACCAGGTCAAAACTCAACTTTCTTTGGCCATACAGAAGGTACAGCCAGCTGAGTCAGTTTCTCCCCAGCCAACATTCCATCATTACACTCAGTGAGAAGAACCAGCTGCATTTCACCCAGCCACCTGCAGATGCCCAGGCCACTTGGGTTTGATATTTTCAGCCATGTTCCCCTCCCAGAGAGTCCTACCATCAACAACCATAATTCCTAGCAATTGTTTTTCCTGATGTGTTTTAGAATCACCACTCAGGAAGGGAAACAAAAGATGTTATCAGATTTTAAAAATCAAATGTAAAGGTAGAAAACAGGTTTAGAAATATACAATAAAGTTTTTTAAACTTTATAAATGTAAGATAATTATATTCTTCAGATTTTTCAGAAAGATCAATTTTTTTTAAATCAAAAAGAAGATCAGTATCCTTTCCAGGATAAACTTTAGAATTCTATACCCTACCATGGCCCTCACCATCATCATGGTTTTTTGTTGTTATTGTTTTGGTTTTTGTTTTTTATGGTTGTTATTTGGTTGGGTTTTAAACCCAGGGGTATTTAGCCATTGGGCCACATCTCCAGCCATTATTATTTTTTTATTTTGAGACAGGGTCTCACTAAATTGCTTAGGGCCTCACTAAGTTGCTGGGGCTGGCTTTGAACTTGCAACCCTCCTGCCTCAGCCTCCTGAGGCTTTGGGATTACAGGTGTACGCCACCACGCCCAGCATCATGTAATATTACTTGCTTTTAAATTGTTAAGTCATTGTTATTCTTTATCTCCATTTTTTAAAAATAATGTTTTCCATTTTTTACCATCAATTTCTATACCTTCTCTCCATTTGTCGCCTTCTCCCCTCACCCTGTACAAATCCTCCAGTTCACCTTTTTATGGCTGAGAGCAAAATTTTACTCTTCATTAGGAAGAAAACAAAAAAAAATTTTTCAAATCAAATTCAGAAAACACCTACAAGAATCATGTCTTTGATATTGCTTCACTGTAGGACCAATCTCTGGTCTCCCTAATTTGGTCAGGAAATAGATAAACATTTTCAAAGTTTACCTGATTTCCTTATGTGATCTCATGACACTCTTTTCAGGGGTAGATTTGTCCTCGAGCACCTTCTCAACATGCCTGACTGCCTGCTCTCCCCTGCTCTTTCTTTCTTCCCCCCAGGCTCCCACTGCCCTGGCTCCTGTACACCCTCATTCACAGATTCCAGCCAGTGGCTGTCAGCAGCAATGGCCTCTTCTGTGCCATTGTCCTCCTCTTCATCATGCTGCTCTTCGTCATTCTTTCCATTGCCCTCTGCAAATGGCGGATGAACAAAGTGCTGGGCTTCATCATGTTTGGCCTCTACTTCGTGTTCCTGGTGATCAGCGTCCTCCTAGAAGACAGAATTCTCATGTGTCCCGTCTCCATCTAGCGGAAAAGCCATATTGTGGACCAACAGCGTGGATGGTCCCTTCCTGCTCTGGGCTCTAGGCTCCTTGGCCTCCTGAGAAGAGGCAGCTGGCACACAGCCCCAGCCAAGTGTCCCTCCTTGGTGGATTGGAGGAGGGATGGATTCACATGGGACCCTTCACTTCACAGGCTCTTCACCCTTGCCTACAGAAATGACTCCACTTAAGAGACAAAAAGAACCGTGACCATGGGGCATCCCTCCATTCACCACCGACAGGTACTCCTCGCTGGCCGGAGGTACATTCATTGTAAGGAAGCAAACAAGGACAGAGGCTATATATACACCTATAAAGTATACATATTATAAATATACACACACGAGCACACAAATCCTGCCTGTTCCTGTATTATTCCTCTCTTTGCATACCTATAGATTAATACATAACTGTACACAAACACAAAGAAAGAAAAATTATATAAATATATATATATATATATATATATATATATATACAAAGTCATATATATATATATATACATGTAAGTACAAATGCATCTTTTCAGGGATAGCTCTAGTATATTTATAGTACCTTTTTGAAGAGGGGCATCAACCTTCAACCTTCAGTCTGGACTTTACCTCTAGGTGCAAGAAGTGATCTAATGGAATCCACAGACAAAGGTGGTGTTGCTGTCACCTTCAGCCTATGTTCGATTTACCGGGATCCTGCCTAACAAGGTGGATGGTTTAGGAAAATTGCTTGTAGGGAAGAGGGCTTAGCAGAAAGAGTCTGGAGGAGCCACGAGTTGAGCCCTCCAAACCATGTGCACTAATCATACAGGGAAGACTGTTCTGCGTACCCATATTGAGTACTTAAGCCAGATGGAGATAAAACCAAGACTGGGTGAATACTGGTTTGGGGACAGGAGGGAGGTGACTAGGGTTGGGTTGTTTTGTTTTGTTGTTTTCTGATATTGCCCCAGCATGCAAGTAGAAAATATGACTGCAGACCAAATTAGTGCTTTTCTAGGACAGCAAAACTACATAAACTGAACTTATAATGTTCCAATGCATGTCCCATTATCATCGAAAGAAGGAGGGCAGTTTTAGCTGTGATTACCATTTAGACATATTTTGATGCTAAGGGCTCACATATAAGTCAAACACCTGCCAGGAGAGCCTTGATGTGTGATAAGAAACACCATCCAGTAGAGGTGCTCAGCGGGACTTGCCACCTAATGGCATGTAAGGGCATCATGGCTCCTTAAATCATTATCCAATGTGATCATAAAGGGCTTCAGTGTCTAAGAATCATTATTCCCAATAGATCTAAATCAACTCTGATCAACACTACTTGGCTGGAGGCAGCTTTGAGGTGTTTGCAAAGGCATTTGCACACTTGGTGCACCCCAGGTAGATTTCTGGGTTCTATTTCAAGGATTTGGTTAAAGCCTGTGCAATGTCTATGTCTCTCCTCCCATCAGGACCCCAGATGGGACTTTTTCTAGTTTTTAAAGTACACTGAAGACTATATTCCACAGTTTCTTCAACCCAGTCACCTCGAGTTTTTATTTTCTGATTTTGCTCAACTTTACCTGGAATTTTTTTTTTTCATTTTATTCATTCAATGTCCCCAAGTTCTATTTGCCACCTTGTATGATTTCTCAGGTCTATTTCATTAGAAAATAAGACTAGTGTGGGGGGGGGATGGGGTTAAACTAAATTGATGAAAAAATATGTAGAATCTTTCATTTCCCCAAGTCGTGATTTCCTTAAAATCATTTGCAAAAGTAAACAGAGGATGGTCCATTATTCTGTGCCCAGCCTACATGAAAGTCGACACACATCATACATGGGGCTCTTCACCACACATGTTCATGTCTTCAGCTTGTGGTGTGCCTGAGGCCTGCTCTGATTGTGCTGTGTTGTTCCTCTTGAAGATAGGAAGACAGGATGCAGAACATATAGTTGAAGATAAAGGTCAAGTGACCTAAGAGTGCAGGCAAAGTCAGTCCTTTCTCCCCCAAAACTTTAGCTCACTCCGTAAAGCATCAGCAAGCAGTACCCATCATGGCTTTTCCCCCACATGTAATAAGTACTGAAAAATGAAGCCCCCCTGAGAAAACAAGAATTCAAGGTGACTGCCTCCCAGGCTTGTTTTCAGATCTCTCCAGCTTTGCAAAGTGGAGTTTTCTAATGTGTGAAGGAAACCTGCATCTTGTTCAAGGGCAGGACTTTGTACTTAGAGTGAAAGAGAATGAGGAAGTCATTTTTCTTGTGTGTGACTTGAAGGGAGCATAGGTGGTTATTGTGTGAATTCTGTATTATTGACCAATTTGTTGTTTGAAAGGCTTAAATAGGTGACCTTGACAAAATGACAGGTAGAATATACAAAATAAGAAAGGTTGCAGGAGGTCAGGTGTAGCCCTGCTCTTATTCCAGCACTTCCTGATCCTCCCCTTCCTCCTCACTCTTCCCATTCATTCCCAGCTCACAGTGAAGACTTGTCCAAGCAACCAGGAATTATTTTACTCACCTAAGAGCTGGGAATGCACTTTACAGGGAGTGTTGTAGTTTTTAATGAAAAATTGCTTTTGAGAAGACAACATTTCCTAGCCTGGTTCCCACTTCAATGGCGTGTGCTAGGCATGACTATGACAGCAGTGTCCCCCTAAGTGGCACACAGGCACCTTCCAGTGCTTGCCCTGGCTTTCCCTTCATTGCTGCGTCTGTGAATAAGTGGTTATGTGTTGGCCTACACTCATTCACATAATTAGAAGAAAACTTTCCACATTATGATTTCCAGAGTAGGTCATCTCTAGTCCCTTTTCTGTATGCCTCTGTGTGTGTATGCATGTGCATGAATGTGTGTGTGTGTGTGTGTGTGTGTATGTGAGAGAGAGAGAGAGAGAGAGAGAGAGACCCAATCACATTAGAATTCAAAAGCAAGGAGTATCGAGTTTGCCAAAGTCAAAGTCAAAGAAAAATACAGTCCCAACCAAAGGGAGCATTTCTTCCTGATCTCATAAGATGGTTTTCTTCTATGCATATATACATACAAACATACACATAAACACCTGTATTTCCCCACCCCCAGAATATAGATGTTTCAGCCTTAAGAAACTGCCCAGTCTTATTCTTCCACCTTTACTTTTTCTAGTACTGGGGTTCAAGCCCAGAGCCTCTCATGCAGATACTCGACTATTTGAGCTATAGCCCCAGCCCCAGCCATATCTTTAATGCTGACATAGAAGCAAAGAATATACAACAGGAAGCACAGAAGAAACTGTTAGACTGCAGTACTCTCTTTGCTTCTTTGGAGCAGAGTACAAAATAGTATCCAAAGTTCAATCCAACATTTTACTACTTGATTTAAAATAAATGAGTTACACCCAAATGGTTCCATTTGGTTCATAGCACACCAAGCAGGTCTTGCTTGCTGTCACCTCCCCGATAGCCCTAGGCAGCCGAGAAGAACCCAGCAACTTGCATCAAACCAAGAGTTCTAAAACAGAAACTTCTGAATTGCATTTGCTTTTGCACATGACATATCCAGCTGCCCTCTGGACCTGACCAGTTCCTAGGGAACTGAAACACAAGATTAAACAGTGTCACTCAGGACCTAAACTGAGTCAGGCAATGACAGATGGGGAAGACAGAACACATGCACAGGGACCATCCAGTAGGATTGTTAATTAGTTCAAAAGATAGAGCAGAATATCTTAAATCCTTGCTCAAAAGATCATAAAGAGAAGCAGGCGTTGTTTAATATTCAGAAAAAAAAAATGCTTTGTGAGGCGTCACCTGACAGGGGCCATTATAATATCTTTTATACAGGAGGCACAAATCAGGTGATTTGGAGCCATTTCAGTAAAACACAGCTGTTTCAGTGATTAGACTTTTGATAATGCTAACAGACAGAGAGTTGGCAATCTCCCTAGCATTGTTCCCATCTTTTAAACGCCTCTAAAACAGCGAGATTCCTATAAAGGGAAGCCCACCATCCCAGACCACCTTAACAGAAAGTTGATCAAGGAAAAGACAACCTGTAGAGCTGCTGTCCAGGTAGTGTTGAAGACAATAGGACTTGAGTTAAATGCTCTGTTGAAATTTCTACATTGAAAGTGTCTGTCATGGGTCTGATGGCCTGTCTGAATGCAAGCATTTCAGAAAATTCTAGTATGCTTTCTTCCCCACATACACACACACACACACACACACACACACACACACACACACACATGATTACGTAGATGCTATGCTTCCTTAACCCCAGATTGTTACTTTAATAAATAAGTGGTCATATCACAGGTGGCAGCTCTGTTCCAGAAAATAAATAAATAAATAAATAAATAAATAAAAGCTGTTCTTAGGGTGATTTCTGAGAAAGTGTGCTATAGAAGCTAATCCAGATCTTACATAACCACATGGCTTTTTAAAAGATACATCCTCAACCCCTATACAATATCATCTTCAATCAGCAGTAAGGCATTGGCAATGAGGTAGTTAGTTATCATATATATGTGATCACACACACACACACACACACACACACACACACACACGGGAGAAAGGAGAAATTAATCTACTTTTACTAGAATTCCTAAGAAAGAAAGCATCGCATTGAAACACATCCTTATGTGGTTTAAAATAACAAATATCAGGCTTTTTAAACAATTACAAGAGCCCTTATGTATACACAGTTCTAGATTTTTTTAATCCCTTCTCAAGATGCCTTGGGAGAAGAAAGATAATTGTATTTCTGATCCACTGTCCATTTAAATTTAGCTCCCTGTCTCTGTACCTTTGTGTTTTCTTTTTAATTTTGCAGGCTCATATTCTTTAAAATATATAGCAAACCGAAAAAGCAATAAAGGAAATATAGCCAGCTCAACTTCATTACTGCTTACTATACCACTGTAATATTTCTTTCACCTCCCCAGGCACTTTGGAAGGTACAGGCTGCAAGGCCTAATCAACAGGAGAACAGAGACCTACAAAAGCTATAGGTGTGCTCCTGTTGGCTACAAACAGAAATAATGTGTTTTCCCCTTTTCCCAAAACAACTTGAGCACGGCCATTGTAGTTTCCTTCCTCACATGTGGATCATCAGCCTTGCTCCATACCACCCAGAGGTCTCTAATCTGGTTAGTGACTTTTCTTAAGAAAGAGTGAGAGAGAGCCACAAAGAAGAAAAGAATCCATTACTCAGCCATGTTTAGA